CAGCCGCATCACCGACACCTGGCTGAACCTCAGTGCACCGGCGTCCCGCGCCACCTCGGGACTGAACTTGGTCAAGTCAATCTGCACAGGCAGCAGAGAGTGAGTGTGTATGCGTGTGTACTTGTGTGCGTGTTTGTGTGCGTGTTTGGGGGTTCGAGAGAGGAAGTACGGGTAGGTAGATATGGGGGAGGAAGAGCGCCAGGCGAGCCAGGCGGGCAAGTCGCAACGATGCATGCGAAAGGAGGAAAGGGGGAAGAGGGGAGTGAGGAGGAAAGGGGGGAGAGGGGGAAGAGGCCATGTCGCCAGTGTTAACGGGCAACCGCGAACTCTCTGGGGACGGGATAGGGGATAACGGGATAACCGGCTCCTACGTGGATCTTTGCAGGGAACCCAGCCCCAACTCATCTCAGCGCATCCACATCCACATCCACATCCACATCCACATCCACATCCACATCCACATCCACATCCACATCCACATCCACATCCACATCCACATCCACATCCACATCCACATCCACATCCACATCCACATCCACATCCACATCCACATCCACATCCACATCCACATCCTAGATGGAACAGAAAGAAATAAAGACATGGGTTCATCAGAGGGCAACCCGCACTCCCCCGCTCTTCTCTCCCCCCCCATACATACATACATACATACATACATACATACATACATACATACATACATACATACATACATGCATACCATACATACATACATACCATACAGATATGCACACGCCACCACCGCACCTGCTCCGCCTTGTTCTTGACATTCCACAAGTCCATTTTCTGGAACTCGGGCGGCAGCGGTGTCTCATCCGCCCCCCTGCACCTCACCGGCCGGTGCACGGTGGGCATCTCGGCCACCAGCTCCGGCGGCAGCGGGCCCTCACCCCGGTAGCCGCGCTGCTTGATCTTCTTGCCGGTGGCGGGGACGGGGGCCACGTAGTCGGGGGAGGACATGGCCTCCAGGTCCTGGGGGGCCAGACCAGGGACGGGGTTAGGAAGGGACGGGAGGGGAGAGGGGGGAGGAAGCGAGGGCCACCACACAGCCAACACGGGATGCCTTCAGGAGGGACGGGAAGAAGGGAGGGGAGGGCAAGCAACTGCACATGGAGGGGTGCAGAGAGCCTCTGAGGGCCCCGAGACGGAGGAGAAGGAGGTGGAGGCGGTTGTGTCCTAGCGGTGGAGAGAGGCGGCGAGTGGGGTTACGAAACACGACATGCATCCAGCCAGCTCTTGCCTCCACCCCCCACCACCCAGCGGCGCCCCGTCCCCACCCGGTGCATGTAGTCCAGGAGCTCCCGGTTCACCGCCCCGTGGGAGTACGGGTCGTCGGGGTCCAAGGCCGGCCGGTCGCCCTCCCCACTGGCGGTGGCGCAGGCGTCAGACACGGAGCCAATCATGCTGCCCGCGCGGCTGGAGGAGTAGGAGCGATTGCCGGCCGTTGTCGTGCCCGTCATCACAGGCCTGTAGATGTGCGCGCGTGTGTGCGTGTGAGTGTGTATGTGTGGAGGACAAGGCAAAAAACAAGGTGAGGGGTGGAGGTGGCCATGGCGCGGTGCGCGAGGCCATGGCGTGCCATACCCCGCAACGTGCAGCGCCGTATTCCCCTCCCCGCTTCCGCGCCTCCCTCCCTTCCCCTCCCCCTTTCCCCCCCGCCCCCGACACACGACAGCCTTTCCCCCTCCCTTCCCCGCCCCGCCCAACCCTTACCCTACCCTACCCACACCTACCTCAGCCGCACCCAGTGGTCATGCAGCACCGCATGACGGCACGTATCCATAACCCTGTTGATGGCGGCCCACTCGTCCATGCTGATTGACGCCGCCGGCAGCTGAGTCGTCGGCACGGGCGGCGTCGGCTGAGCCGCCACATTCAGGGCCGAGCGCGAGGCGAACGACGTGCTGACCAGTGGGTCGGGGAAGTTCCACGAGGACGAGTTGGGGTTGGCGAGCGCGGCGGCCTTGGCAAAGGTAACGGAGCGCCGCATGGGGAGGCGCTCGGTGGGGACCGCGGGGCGCCACCGGGCGCGGTCCGTGATGTCCAGCTTGTCGTACAGGTACACAGCATGTTCGATTAGGACCTGCGGGGGGGGTAGGGGGAAGGGGCGGGAGTGAGGCGCGGGGGCAGCAGCAGTTGAAGGACAGGAAGGGGAGGGGAAAGAAAGGCGGTGTGGGGGGGGGAAAGCGGGGAGAGGGTACATGAACATGCAGAGAAGATGGATTTCAGGTGGTGTGGAGCAAGGGGGGTAAGGGGGTAAGCAAGCACAAGTAGCACATACACACACACACGCTCTCTCACACACACTCGCGGGAATGTTCGTGGCAGGGGCCCCCATAGGAGAAGGGGTTTCACCCTGCCCGCTATCGTTCCTCCCCCCGCCTTACAGCCGCCGTTGCAATGTAGCCTCTGCCTTCACCCCTCCTACCTCAACCTTACCCCCACCCCCCCGGGGCCCTCCCTCGTGCCCCCCTCACCTGCAGCCATGCATCTATCTCCACACTCTTACAACCCAGGCGGGCCATCTGCGGCAGTAGGAGCAGCTTGGCGTCCAGCCTGCAGCCCGGCGGGGGGAAGGGGGAGAGAAGGAATGGCGGTGCGGCAGGGGAGTTCGTCAGGAGGTAAAGGGAAGGGGAGGGCGGAGAGAGAACACGGAAAGGCAGTGCGGGATTACCAACTACGACAGAAGCGGATAGGGCCGCGACACATCGCTCGTCACTCGCGTGTAATCAGCCAATCTCAAGACCCCCACCTGTCGTACTCTAGCGTCGCGGCGCACTGCAGGTGGTAGATCAGCATGTGCAGCTTGGAGCTGCCGTACATGTCTGTAGGGAGGCATGTACGGGATGTATACAAAGGTAGGGGCTGTGCACAGCCACGAACAATCTAGGAGATGGACAACGGTTGCCCCCCCCTCCTCTCCATCGTAAAATCCAACAGCTCTCCCGGGAATTGAAATATGGAAGCCCGTCGTAGCCATCCACGTAACCCATTCACATTACGTAACCCCCATCCCTACCCACCTACCCAGAACCGGGCTCCACCCATACCCCCCTTTCCCCCTCAGCTTGATACCTTCTCCCCCTTCTCCCCCCTCGCCCCTCCTTCCCCTCCCCCCGGTCTTCCCCCTCCTCCCCTCTCTCCCCCCTCTCCCCCCTCTCTCTCCCCCAGTCTCCCCTCGCCCCCCGCCCCCTTCACCACCCACCCAGTTCAGTGACCGGCATAAGGCCCCTGGCCGCCTCCATGTGTTCCGCATACAGCCGGGGAATGTCCTCCCAGCGGGGAACCACCACGGGGCCGGGGACAAAGGCGCGGGGGAGGCGGAGCTCCTGCTCGGCGATCTGGGCAGGGAACACAGGAGGGGAGCACAGGAGCCAACACAGGAGGCGGCAGGAGCCAACTTGAGGGGGAAATCAGGACAAAGTTATTCCAAGACCAAGTCAACAAAAATCGTGCGACTATTGTAAAATTCTTACAGCCTGACTGCGACAAAGCCCCCAAAACCAATAACCCACAACGGGTAAAGCATGGAGAGTGGAGGAGCAGTAAATACTTCCTGCTTTGCCCAGGTCAGATACCCCACGCTACACCCCCCCCCACACACACACGCCACACCCACCGTGCTCTCCTCAACACCTGCTCTCCACTCCACCTCACCACCAACACCGCACACATCCCTCGACCGTCCAGCCGCCCGCCCAGCCACCAACGTCCGCCCAGCAAAAGCCCCCAACCAAACCCAGACCCACCTGCAGCACCGCGGCGGCGTCGCTAAAGGTCCGCACGCCCCGTCCCGACGCCACCGCCATATCCGCACCCAACTCCTGCGCCCGCGTCGAATGTATGGGATGGTTGAACGGCACGTCGTACGTCCTCCAGCGCTGCTTCGGCGCCATCCCCACCAGCGTCGGCGACGCCGGCGCCGCCAGGCGGCTGCCTTCCCGCTGCGGCGCGCCAACGCCGGCAGCACTCACGGCACTGACGCCCACACCGACAAGTCCCCCGCCGACGCCGATGCTGCTCCATGCCGACCTGACCGTTCCAAGCTCCGATGGGCCGCAGCTATTCTGGAGATGCGGCAGACGGCCGCCGACTGCGCTCTCCGGTCGGCGGCAAGGACCGGCGCTTGACGGCCGGGAGCCGGCTACACTGGCGGGCGCGGCGCCGATGTTGACGGTGCTGGCGCCGCCGACATAGGCGCCCCACTTGCTGCTGCTGATGCTCTCTCCAAAGGTACTGAGGAGGGCCTGCACCGGGCCGTTGACGCTGCGGATGCGCATGGAGGAGGAGGGGTCGCCGTTGGCTCGGAGGCCGCCGGCGAGGGAGCGCCCGACGGAGGATGAGCGGGCGGCGCTATTGCCGGGGACGGGCGGCGTCCTGGGGGAAGCGTTGGGGGCCAGCGTGAAGAAGTAGCCGGCGGGGACACGGCGACCACAGCTGGTGCGAAGACCTGCAAGGGAGCAGCATAATGCGGTAGTGGGCATGATTCACGCTTGCACGACATGTGGGCACGGAAGACGGGGAACGAGAGAAAGTAGCGTCCACAACGTGGTATTTGTGGGGGACCAGGGTCTTCATAGCACTGTAGGCTAATAAAGGAGAGGAGAGGAAAGGAGAAGAGAGGAGAGAGTACAACAAAAGTCGCAGCGGCAAATGGCAATCCGCAGTGTGACGGATCCAGCGGAATTGATGCGAGGATGATGGCCCCAACAACGTTATCATGTAAAAGCCACTTCGATAACACTTTATCAGGGAATTCCTGGCCTGCTGCATTTTTCAAATCTTTCCGCCCACTTACTGGAATAGTCGTATGTGACGTGGTGGACATACGCCCCGCCTCCGCGGCTGCGCAGGTTGCTGATCAGCGGCCGTCTGGCCAACTCGCCCCAGGTGTTGGGACGGGGCGGGTCGACCAGGTGCGCCTCGCGGTCCTTGTCACTGTTGCGTGGGGCGGTCTCGTTGGCGGCCTAAAAACAGGGAGCAGGGAGCAGGATTCTGAAAAGGGCGCGATGCGAAAGGGTAAAGAAACAGACGAGGAGGAGTATTGGAGGACAGGGGGCGCACTGGGAGGGAGGGGTAGGAGGCGTTCGGGAGAGACGTAAGGCAGACGTCGCAGCCATTCTCTTGCATCATAAGATAACTCTTCCCTGCAATTTGGTCCCATGACCATACCCCAAGCCAACTTTTTAAGTTGCTGAACTTGTGGCATGCTGGAAAAGGATTCAAATCCTAAATTCGATATTATATCCCTCAGCGATGTCTCGGTGTTGGGGCACTGGATTGGAATGCACATTCCAGCTGTGGCCCATTATTATTATTATTATTATTATTATTATTATTATTATTATTATTATTATTATTATTATTATTATTATTATTATTATAATATTCAGAGATGGAAAAGATTTAGAAATTTTTAAGTTTACATATACGAGCAGAGGTGTAGTTGGCTACGAGGGAGTTGTTAAAACCTTAACAAATAGCACAGAGGGATGGGGGCCAAAAGGTCAATCCCCCAACAAAGGCATCAGAGCTGTTATGTGCGAAATCTGTCGACGGTGCATTCAGAGTCCATCGACAAATGTCACGGTGCCGGTGAAACAATTGTGATGCTTTGCTCAGAGGTACGACGGCTTGGAAGGAGGAGAGCAGCCTGCCCTGCCTGGCAGCTGCTGAGCAGGTTCATCCTTGACATAATATTCGTGTTCACGCCGCCTCCCCACGCACCTAGCCAGGGGGACCCTCCTTCCCTTTTTCACGGGGGCCCCTTTTCTCTAGGCCCCTTTTCCTTGGCCCTTCCCGCACCTTGGTATCCAAGAGGTCCACTCCGTGCGCGTCGCAGTACTCCACAAGCCCCGAATCGGGCTCGGTGGACTTGGGCCCGCGGAAGCGCATGCGGGTGTTGGCGTACTGGTACTCGCCTGGCATAAATAAGGGGGCCGAGAGACGTAAACGTGAACATGACAGAGCGGCGGAGGGAAATATTCTCAGGGGAACATTTAGGGTTTCGTGGGTTTGGGGTTTTGGGGGCCTACGGACAGCTTTTGTGGCTCGCGGGGACAAAGATCATTTAATAAGTTATCCCAGTGCGCGGATTACGTAACCATTCGCAAATGCCTGGGGTACAGGGGTACAGGGGTACAGGGGTACAGGGGTACAGGGGTACAGGGAGGGAGGGAGGGCCCAGCGCCGGTATGAGGCGGGCCGTTACTCCCAGACACATCTCTTCGCACCCCACAGCTTGCACACTCAGGCACCATCATCATCGTCCTCCACAACCTTCCTTCCCGGCAGCCCCTTCCCTCACCGTTGGTCGTGTGCGCCACCACCTGCCTCTGCTCCCAGGGCAATGGCGGCTGCTTTCCTCCCTCCAGCTGCCAGGCCGCCTCAGCGCGCGGAGTAGGCTGCCACGAAACAACGAAGTCAACCAGATGTCGACCCCACTTGCCAAAGTACGTGTTCACGCGGACCTGCACACAGGAAGAAATGAGTGCACGGACATACGCAATAAACACATAAAAATAAATTGGTAGCTAGGAAGGTGAGCAATGTGTTGATCCAAGCAATGTTCAGCAGCCCCGTAGATGGACAGTAAGGGGGGGAGAGACCAGAATTTGGAGCCCTAAGACGTCGAGACATGAACAAGCACGCAACTACAAGCAGCTCAAAACATCCACTTTCCAATACCCCTATCACTATCCGGTCCTCCTACGTCGCGTACCTTTGTGTCGGGGAAGTCACGGTGCTGCATGTACTGGAAAGTGGCCCGTGGGTCGGCGGCCTCCAGGCAGTACAGCGCACCAGCAGGCAGCACAGGCCACAACTCCGGAGGCAAGGCGAACACTACACGGCAAGGGCAAGGAAGGGGGTTGAGGCAGAGGCCGCGTGGAAGTGGCCGCGTGGCCGTGCCGACGGTGCCAGCGTGTGGGATGGAGCTAGAGAGGAAAGCTTGTGTCTTGTGGAGCTGTCCGTTTTCTGGCACACATGTGCGCGCGTGCGCGCGTGCACGTGTGTGTGTGCCCCCTCCCACCCACCCACCCGCGTCCAATCTCGCAGTGAGGGGCTCCTCCGCGGGGTCGGAAAGCAAGATGGAGGCCTTCTTGAAGGACGACCTGAATTCTGCCAGTGCAACAGCAGACTGCAAAGAGGGTTTGTGTGTGCGTGTGGGGGGATGAGAAAGGAGGGGGGGGGTCATTTGAACACACACAAAAAAACTCTCGGTGATCTTCTCCTCCCAAATACAGGCAGAGTGTCACACGCACACGCACACCCTTCTTCCCAAGGCCGCCTACCCAGGGAAGCTGCTCCAGCGCGTCCTGGTGCCAGTCGGTAGCGGACTTCCTGGCAAAGGGCGTCTTGCGGTCGACACTGTTGGCGCTGTTGGCCGAGGACGGCCGCCGGGACACCCGGCTACCCTCCCGGGACACAGGCGGTCGGGGGGACTCGTGAACGGGCTCCGGAGGCTCCAGGGGGAGGGCCCCCGAGGGCGTCACGGCTGGACTGCCCAAATCTGGATCGACCTGCGAGAGCCGAAGGCAAACCCTAAGTTAACACTGCCAAACAGTTAGCAGAAAAAATCAAAACTTCATACAAAAGGAAAAGAGCCCAAATGTCCAAGGGTTTAAAAAACTATTTTGATATTATAAAAGTAATAATGAAGTGACTTTTGGAAATGGTATGTTGCGCCCGATCGCGCTCTCTCTCTAGGGCTTGATAGGGATTTTTCCTAGGCCTTACACTTCCCCAACTGTGCTCAACACCATTAGGACTGGGATTTGGCGATGACATGGTCCGCAAGCCGCCGGCGACACGTTTGCGTGTTGCAAAAGGCCACATGAAGCACGTACGTCGTGAGCGGACGCATGCCGGATAGGTTTGAGTTTGGGAGAGTGGGAACTGGCGGATCGTCCTTCTGCTCGGGGCGGGCTGCTGCAACGGCCGTGCTGAAACAGAGTCAGCGCACCAGTGCCGACAGCTCACCAGGGGGTGACTTGTGATTTCCAGCATTGACCGGTGGCTCCCGGATGGGGCCTTCGTGCCCATGCTGTGGCCATTTGCATCCGTGGAAGGCCCCGCCCGCACCGAAGTCCTGCTTGCCTCACGAGAAGGCTGGGGAGGGGTCACCGCCGCCGCTTCCGCCATTGGGACAGAGGCTCCCGACGGATGGGCAGCGGGCGGAGGTCGTGACGATGACACCGCAGCCGCTGCCGGTGGGGCTTGGATTGGGAGTGACGGATGTGCAGGGGGCGGCGCCGGCTCGGTGGGCGTCGATGGACCCGATTGCGAGACGCCGGCGGCGGCAGCAGCGGCGGCGGCGGCGGCGGCGAGCTCGCGCTGCATGCAGAAGCCGCGGCAGGAAATGGGAGTTCTCAGCAAAGTTGTAGGAAAACAAGAGAGGAAGCGATTGCACTTGCGATCCCTCTATGCGGCAGGGACATTGCCATGACATGATAAGCGCAGCCAGGGACTCAATTAAAAAACAAAACATCAGCATCAAAGCCCCGTCCCCGGCCCAACCCAATGCGAAGTGACATGTGCATAAAAGGCTAAAAAGCTCGACCTTTACAACACGCAGCAGCAGCAACAGCAGCAGCAGCAACAGCAGCAGCAGCAGCAGCAGCAGCAGCAGGCAAAACCGTGGACTGGGGGCTGTTGGGCCCCCGAGAGGAACGGCTTACCAGCGGCAGCATCGGCACTGGCGTTTTGCCGTGGCCGTGACCAGCGGACTTGTGGCCTGTGCTACTGTTCCGAATGTTGGCGGCCCCCTCCGAGGGGGCCCGGTTTGATGTACGACTGGTCTCCCGGGACAGCCCTGACGGCGGTTGTGGGTGCACCGTACCGACCCCTGGGTCGTTGTTGACGCTGACGGTGGAGGACACGTGGCTGACGTACTCGGGCGGCTCGCTCTACGGGCAGAGACCCCCGCAGGATTGCGGCAAGGCATCCGTTAATTAAAACACACGAGGTGGCATGTAGCGCGAAACTACGGGCGAGCGGGACAGCGTCGAATCCCTACCAACGACAGCGCGGGGCGTCTGGGCCGCGTGGGTGTGCAACGTAACGCGTCGTGATGCATGTCAATACGCGGGTTGCCGCACTCTTTCATCTTTTCCGTTGCAGGCGGCAGGCGTGGCGCAACGTATGCAACTCCCAGCCCCACACAAAGCAAAGCCTTCCCGAAGTGGTAACAGCAGCTATGAATCCGTCCGCAGACAGCAGCCCCTTGTGCCCTTTTGGCACAGGCGGGGGTTTCAAAACGCTCCAAAACCATTGTGCAAAAGGCAAAGAAGCACATGCCCCACGCCGCAGCTTCACACGGTAGCCCATGGTAGCAAATGAAACCCAACAATGGCAACCCCCACTTGGGGACAAGCAGAATGAAGGCGGTGCACGGTCCCCAGTCACGGGTCCGGTCCGGTCCGCCCTCACCCATGGAAGCGCATCCGGCGGCAAGTCTTGCAGCTCCAAGGCAGCGGCACTCAGCCGCTTGCCGCCACCACCACCGGCAACACCGGCAGCACCTGGACTATTGCTGGCGTGGCTGCGGTGGCTGAGCGCCGTCGGCGTCTGGGTTGATCTCCTGGGGCCGTCTCGCTGCGCCGTCGTGGATGGGGCCGCGCCGCCGTTTGCCTCGGGTTCTGGGGAACGACTTCCCGCGGCCGACGCGGACCGGCTGCTGCGCTCGGACTTGGACTGCGTGGCGTATGTATATGTGAGAGAGAGTCGGAGAGAGTATGTGTGTGTAATAAAAAGAGAGAGAAAGAATAAGAGAAAGAGAGAGAGAGAGAGAGAGAGAGACCACCGATCGGAGAAGGCTGGCGCGTACATGGTAGTGTCCTGTTCAAGACACACATTTTCGCTCTACGCCACCTTCGAACGCATCCAAAGGATGGCGCCGCAGAGAACGTCAGAAACCAACGACAGCAGCTAGCAGTACCTTTGGCCGCAGCTACTCGCTGGATCAGAAATCTATCTCACTCAAAAAGGGCGCGTGGGCACAATCCGAGGGACAGCAACAACGGAGAAAAAACAAAACGGAACCAGAGTCATGGGGAGGAACCAAACGGCGAGGAAGCAAAACCGGCCAAAGCAGCGGTCTTCCTCTGAAAAAGAAAGCCAATATCAGCCAGCTAGCCGACAAACCAGCTTTCCACTCGACTTACCGCTGGCCCAAACCCAGCATGCGGTCCCCGGTGCTGCCGTGCCGCCTCCTCGTGCGACGACAGCCCTGCTGGCCCGCCTCGCCTTTGCAGCACCTCCGGCTGCTGCTCCGTCGCCTCCCAGTCGTCCGCCTCCCGCCGACCGTCAAACGGCAGCTGCTCCTGATGCTGATGCTGAAAGCCCTGCGGATCGCCCGCCCCGGGGGCGGCGCCGCCTTCCACGTAGCCCAGCGCCGACGACTTCCGGCTGCTGCTGGCGCTGCTTGCGCCACTTGCGCGGCTGTGGCGACTTCGGGATGTTGAGGAGGATCGCCTGGACAGCAGCTTGCTGCCCTCCCTGGAGACTGCCGGCGGCGACTGATAGCCACCTTCCGCTTCTGTTCCCTGGGCGAGTGACCCGGGGGTCCTCCGGCCGGGGACCTGGGACCCGGCACTGCTGGGCTCCGGTTCGGGCTCGGGCTCAGGGTCATCCTGTAAGGCGGCAGAAGTTTAAAAGGTTTGGAAGGTTTGGAGGGGAGAGCTGCGTGTGCGTGTGCGAGTGGTTTTTTTTGACGTTGCGTCGCAGGCTTGGCAGTGTGCTCGTGCTTCCGAGGGAGTTTTTGCTGCAGACATGTGGTTGTATGTGTGAGGTGAAAGACAGGGAAAAAAGGCAGAGGAGGGGATTTTGCAGCTGCTAGGGAAGGGGGGAGGAGAAGGGAAAAAGGGCAAGTGACCGAGGGAAAGTAGGAAGGAAAGGGGTGCCGGTGTTGGAAAGAGGGAGGTAGGGGAAGAGGGGGAGCTTGTGGGGTCGCGGAGAAGCGGGGGAGTACACGGGGACTCTGCGGACTTGCTTACCCAGGGCTGCACTGTGCCGACCGGTCGCGGCTTCGTCTCTATCGACCTACGCGACCGAACAGCAGCACTGTTGCTAACGCTGTGGTTGCTTAGGGCAGAAGTGGTGCGCGCAGTGGCCGCACGGCTGGGCTCTCTGGAAAGAGCGCGGGACAACGAATCATTGCTTGGATCCGGCTCCAAGGCGCCGTCCTGATATATGCGTAAGGCGTGTAACACGGCCAGTGTTGGTTAAGAGGCTGGTAGCGATGGAGCATAAAGTTTGTAAGGATACATCATAAGGGTATCGCGATCATTCATAAACTTGGAACAGAGAAGGCGCAGGCGATGTAATGAGAACATGCAAAGGAAGCCAACATGCACACCACAGCTTGCAGCTTCCTAGCAACGCCATGTACAACTTACAAGCAACTCTTTGCGCAAGTGCTACACAAGACTGTATGATGCGAAACCTGACACTACATACAGCAGCCATTGTCCCCGGGCACCATGAATGGGGCCCCCTTCATCGGGCCCTTACCGGTGTCAGAGCCTCCGGCTCCCAGTAAGCAAAGTGATTAGTAGCTTTCCTTGTTGACCTCACGTCGATGCTACTGTTGTTGCTGCGGACGCTGAGTGCTGTGGTGCTCATCGCGTCTCCTGCTTTGCTCCTGCTGTTCTAAGAGCGTCACTTATAAGCAATTGTAAAAAAATCTATTCAGGAGTAACGTCATCACAGCTTTTTAACGCTGTATCTTGCGCGCGCAGTTTCTCGCTCTTGGATAAAACTGTGCACTGGGCGGATTAGCTGTGCGATGGCATCCCAGTCCTAAAACCATAGACAGCCCAAGCTGGCCCACAGTGAGTGCAGTGCAAGACCAGCAGCGAATGCAAGGTGACCAAGAGAACGGGTAGAACTAAGGAGCTTCCAAACCCTCTTCAAGCCGTAAGAAGTTTCATGTTATGTCATATCATGACAATGCGCCTTGCTGAAGTAGAAAACCGTTGCAGCTGGCATTGTTCTGGTTGTTGCGCACATGCCGTATGTTTGTATAGTACGGGAACGCTTCCGAAGTTTTCACGTCATATGCGATACAAAGTCTCGCTTTATTTGAGCCGGACCATGATCGCATCTGGTTAATGTTCAACTATGCCGATCTTGTTAGGCCAGCCCTAGTGTTGCGAAGAGGTTCGGATAGCAAGCGGATAGTCGTCGAGCGACTTGGAAAATAATTAATAGCGTTAAAAAATATTGCATTAACGTATATTTCTATAACATTCAGATGTAACGTGAAAGAGCGCCAAACCGGCAATTAACTAATATGGCGGCAATCTGATATCGTCGTTTCCAGAAAGAAAAAACTATGAAATACGTAAGAACTGGAAATTGTTTCAATGCTGTAAGCCAGGGCATTGCAGGAGGGGTTGAATGCATACCCCGAAGGCTAAAGTACAGTAACCTTGCCCGCCACTAAGGGCCTTCGTTACAATAGGCCACGCTGAGCCCGCAGCCGCTGTGAAAAAGGTTCAGATCCTGATACTTTAAGCAGTAATAAGTCGTGACCTTTAACTGCTGCCTGAACCAACTTGATGCTTCACGTGCATGGTGCAGCTAGCTGGGTTTTCAGTACTAAACCGAACATTTCTTCCTAGCTTCTATGCACATCCCAAGTCTTTATTTCTGGTGCTGATGTGATGCAATCTGCTTGGGAAGGACAGCTGTAAGTGAACGGGTGTCTCCATCGGCTATATTCAAGCTGGTTGCCGCATGCCATATGTTCATCCCTGTTAGTATGCATCGGTTGCTAACGCGTTTTAATTTACGTTTCGGGCCGCTAGAAGCAACATACCTTATGTGGGGATTGCACGTGAGCAGAGGAGTTGAACGTTTTGCGAGCCCCAAGCCGTGGAAGACGAAGAACGTGTACTCTTGGGTTGCACAGCATATACCATGCACAGCTTTCTGTCGGTTTTCAGGTGGATCATGCTATGAAGGACGCGGTAGCGGTTGACCAGCTGAAGTTGGCGAACCTAATCACAGTACCTGGCTAACGAGTCAGAAATAACAGGCGCACTAGTCTGGGTAGTTCACTTAGTTCAACATATTCTCCTTTTTCTCGTGTTGAGTGATAGGATAACAGCCTATCTTTTGCGTTTGTTTGCGTTTGTTTATTTCAGGGCCTTAGGGCTATAGGCCTAGCCTCCGGGCCCCCCAGAACTCCCCCAATTTACCGCTGGCAGCTGCGCCATCGCCGGTGTGTTAGCGGCGTTAGCACCCCTGTTCAAAACGCCCCCGTCAGGAGTAACATCGCTGCTTTGGTGGTTGTTCGAGGTTGGATCCCTTGGCTTGCGCATACTTTGCTGTGTTTGGACCAGTCATATACCCTGCTATGCCGCGTTGACTCACGGACGTTACCTTTTTACGGCCATCCATGGCCCCTCATTGCTATCCTATAACTTCAGATACTATGTTTCATAAAGAGCTGACCCGTCATTTTTAGATGAAGTTATGAAAATGCACGGGTCGGCCTCAATACATTCCTTTTTTTCTAAGCCCCGAATCCCGATGTATTGCTTATTTGGAACATATAATGTGTTCCAAATAAAATTTATAAAAAACACTGCCTAAACTGGCCCTTGGGCTGCCTCAGGGCTCGTATGGACCCATTACACCTTTGGAGGGTAACGGAACTCCAAAAGGTGTAAAACACACATACACACACATACATTCTCTCTCTCATTCACATTCTCTCGGCGCTGATAGCCATATGATGATGAGAAACACATTTTGCTGGACTGTCCGGTGTACGACAAAATCAGATCTGATATGGATTTCCCACGCTTCGAGCACATGAAGGACGCTATGAAGTGGGAACCTGAACGCCTGGCAAGGATGCTGGAACGTATATGGTCCCACCGCAACTCTACCGTTCCCTTTGGTCGTTAGTATCCTTTATCACTTGTTTTGTTTGAAGTGCGAGGTAGGATAGTGCTTATATCGGCGATCTGGCAGCCCTTGAGCCCTCGGCTCGTATTAGGGCGGTTTGCAGGTACGGGGAACGCACCCACGACCATGTAACACACAACACAACACACATCGCAAGTGGTAGTTTTACATGTGCCTTTACAGGGCATATGATCCTGAAGCATTACCCAATAATAAAAAGTTACATCAAGTTCCAGAGGCTGAACCCTCTCAGCAGCGTTGCACGCGTACATACAGCAATACACTGCAACGAACCTCAGGGCACATGCGAGCGTTTGCCACTGTCCGCGCTGTATATGCTCTGTAACGAAGAGCCCCTTGGCCACCGCCGTCACCACGCCCCTGCACAGCACGCCCGTGCACAGCACGCCCGTGCACAGCACGCCCCTGCACAGCACGCCCCTGCACAGCACGCCGGTGCTCCAAAGAGCCTGGAATGAACGTCCCATGCTCAATCTAGCCGCCTATAAATCATGAATAAAATCTAACACATAGAAGCTGGAGTTTGCGTGTATTGTGAAGAGGTTGACTATTAAGGAGATGTGGAGTGAGGCGTGAACGGTGAAGCAGGGCTTGCTAATACACCAAAAGGCTGTCGGACACGCTGTCACAATCGTGTGCTGTAATAGTGCTTGAAACAAACATGTGCCTGGGAAAAGCACTAGCATGTGATAAACCCAGAATGAGAAATAGAACAACATAAGCACGATTGAGAAGATTCCAGCAGCTGCGTAGCCTGTGTGTAGGCAAGCACCGCAAAGGCAAAGTGTGCATGAAGGTGATGCTAGGACTCCCTATCGTAGTTGTGTTTCTAAGACACAGTTGCAAGGCCTGCACAACCCTCTGCCTGGGTCCCCCCTCTGCCCTCGTCTTATGTGCACTCCGCGAGGAGGGAGCCCGTCCACCAAAGCACGTGCACTGCCGGGTCCACTTTCCGGCCTTCCAAACACGGAATGCACCAGGCACACAGCCCCCAAAACCCTAATCATGGCCATCAAACTAAGTCAAATCCTCAACGCTTGGCCATCATGGTACATGGTACATGCAGCTACCGTGGCATCGCATAACCATGACACGCATGGTAAGTTATCATGCGGGTGGTGCGGGTTGGTAAGGATGGGTCTCTCTCTATCCGCAGAAACAGCGCTAGCAGGCATGCGGCATGTCTGCGCATAACGGAAAGAAAGCGGTGTTCGTGTTCGTGTTCATGCTCGTGTGTTCGTGCGCGCACACGCCCGTGTAGCTGGCCGCTGAAAGGCCTCTAAAGCTGCTGGCAGAGCGGCATAGCGCGTGTTTAAAAATGATATGTGTGCCGCACAGTATAGAAGTTGCTACAGCCCTGTAAGCATATGAAAGGACTGCCTACAGCACCAGCTGTAGGCTGGTCTGTACGGGATGAACTGTACGACGAAATTGCAATTGCACGGTGAGACCACAGTCCGCATGGCGACGTGCGTCTCTAACCGATTTCAAGCGCATTCACGGCCATAGATGTTGCCGGTGACGGTGGAAGAAGCCAGAAGCGAGGCCTGGTCGCCGCCAGCTCATCACATCAATTTTGCACGCTTGCCTTGACTCCTAGCAAGCAACTCAGACTGTGAGTCCGATAGTCGGATACAGCCCGACAGCGGACAGCAACCCCCTGCAGCCTTACGCCGACCTGCCTACTCGCAGCCCTAGGTAAAAGACCTCCCGTGAAAATTTGTCATGTATACGGTAATAAGATGTGTGTGCTAAGACAATGACAGCCATCCTGCTATCGTAATTTTTGAAGCGATTTCAGTGTGGACACGCCGAAACGCTGCAGCAAAGTCAGCCAAAATACAACCCGCCGTACAGCAGAATTATTACTTCCCGTACATATACTCTTCTGAAGTGAGAAAAACGGCGAAACATGTAGCGGTGATCTTGATAACGCACCCTCTATCTCCAGTAAAACACCGTCAAGCACGCTCTGCATTTTTTGCGCCAGTTCGGCTTGCTGTAAGAAATAAACACAAAGACAAAAGAATTGCCGTTCCACAGAGCTTCACCCATTACCCGTCTTCGTGCATCCCTTCCTGGCCCTCCGAAAAGGGCCATTTTTCAATGCGGTAAACAAAGTGAAGCCATCCTCGGGTTCGACGATGAAGAGGTACATAACTCCGACCATGGAGAATGCTGGAGAATGCTGGAGAATGATAAAGCGGCGGGTTAAGCGCGGTGTAAACCACCCTCGCCTCATTCGGCGAACTATAAAGGGCAGGCTACTAAAGCGATTCAAAACGATCAAAGCAGTCAAAGCCGGTCAAACGTGATTAAGCAAAAAGTGAAAGCTGTCAAGCAAAAAGCAATCAGATACATTCAAACGCTGTCAGTAATCGGTAGAAAAACAATCGCAAAACGATCTTCCCTCGCACGATTGCGCGCGCCTGCTTTCCTTTCACAACACGTATATCAATGGCGCGTTTTTGTTGCAGGAAACTTTTCTGCCAAGCGCAAAAAAAGGCGAGCGAGTGCAAATGAACCACCTTTTCGGCGGCACCTGCTGCATATTTGCACATATTCCATCTTCGGTGGTGAAACGGATGTTGCGCCTGTCCGTGACAGGCACTTACTTTGGCCCACTTATCCATAGCCTAAACAGTCCACACACATACACATACACACACATACCATTTCACTCATTAAAGTATTATCACATTGAACTACCATAAAAAAGCCGATAGTACACACACGACGATAGTAAAGAAGATCCGCCTCGTCCATAGCAGCATGCCGCCACGCTAACCAACCCCGTAACCGCAACACAAGCCAACGCTAAAAGAGAACACACACACACATACACACACATACACATACACACACATACACACACACATACACACACATACACACACACATACACACACAGGTTCTAAGAGGGAAAGCGGCCCTAGGGCCGCCAATTCCTGGCCTCGCACATTCCAGAGCTATATGTACGAGTGCCGATTACTCTCCAACAACCCCCCGTGAGCGACATACCGCAGCTCAGCTCTAACATTAAGGACCATCCTGACGATGCCATCGTCGGATATTTCAAGAAATTTACGGCAACTTTTTCAAACAGCCGGATTCGAGATCTGGACCCCTGATTAACCCTTAGCGTGCACGACCTGCACGACTTGCACGACCTGTAAATAGAGAGGAGATGTGCCCGGCCAACTACGGGCCATCTTTATACACCAAGCGTTCCCCCGCGCGAGGTATGTGAGTGCTGCTGATCACTTCCCGACACAGGTACTACGGCGCACCATCCTGCCAGTCCCACAAGGACCGAGACCAGCTGCCCCTGGTCGCCCTGCCCGCATGGCATCAGCCAGTCCCTGCCAGCGCCATGCACGCTTGCAGTAAACGCGGCACTGTGCAGGAGCCGAAGTTATCCATGCGTCTGGTTTCCCCGGTACCTCTCCTTCGCGGTTCCCGAACCTCCGTAATGCAATGCATGAAAGCAAGAGCCCTATCAGATAGCAGCCTCCCTTCGTATTTTTTATTTGCTGCCTCCGGGTTGCCTTGCTTACACCAACGACCCTGCCACAGCGTGAACTGCGCTCTTGGAGTTTTTTTTTAGCAACACGATCCTCAGACGACTGACACAACACTAGTTAGAGCGCAAAAACTGGCAAAAAGAGACATGCGGCGATGTTCACACACCCCATATACGTACGCACAAAAGCGGCCTCAATTGAACCTTGAATCGTGGCTGTGCCCTTAGTTGCCTATAGATTTCTCATGCCGTCTTCGTTGCGTTCATCGGCTAGTTACGAAAGAAGAAAGCAAGCACAGCAAAGACTTTCGCACCCGTGCGCGCGAGAGCGCCTCTTATCGCGAAACGGGACCTTCGTTGCCGGAACCACACATTGGCGCCCAGCAGGACTTGTTTGGCCCGGCCTGTGCGCCCTTTCCTGCCCTGATCTACACCTTCACTGCCTTCCCCCACCCGTGGCCTTACTTTCATTCGCTCGTCGCTCGTCACTGACGACGTCAGCGCTCGCGTGGTGGAGGGGGCTTGGAAACGGAGCCCATGTCATGGCCACGAACTAGCGCGCGCGCGATGAGGTGTGCGGCTCTGGTGCGGTGCATGGCAACCACCACATCCGCCGGCCATCCCAGCACCCGGCACAGGAAGGAGGTGTAGGTCTCGTTGGTGATGCGCCGCCAGGTCACCTGGCAGGTAGGTAGGTAGGTAGGTAGGTAGGTAGGTAGGTAGGTAGGTAGGTAGGTAGGTAGGTAGGTAGGTAGGCAGGTAGGTAGGTAGGTAGGTAGGTAGGTAGGTGGGTAGGTAGGTAGGTGGGTAGGTAGGTAGGTAGGTAGGTAGGTAGGCAGGTAGGTTGGTAGGTTGGTAGGTAGGTAGGTAGGTAGGTAGGTAGGTAGGTAGGTAGGTAGGTAGGTAAGTGACCCTTCCAGACTTCACTTAGTCCCAAATCAGGGCACGACTTCGCAGCGCAGACGTCCCGGAGGCATCCCTCCCGTTGCGATGTCTTTCTTGCCAGGTACATGCCTCCCGTCCGCATCCCGCCGCCTCAAAGCCATATCCGGGATATCACGACCCACGATGCTGAGGCACTCTTACCCCAAGCACCCATGCAGTGGCTTTTATACGTTGCCGCTCCGCCTCCGCCTCCAGATCCACCTGACGCGCTGCGGTGGTAGCTGCGGCGGCGGCGGCCGCGGCGGCGGCCGGTCCTACACCTGTGTTCCTGGCTGCGATAGCACGTGCCGTAGCGGTGATTGCTGTTTTAGACACCGGGGCACTGATGGCCTCTTGGAGGATCGCCAGCTGCTCGGGGTAGCGCTCTAAGTTGCAGTACACCACCAAGAGGTTGAAGACCTGGGGCGGCAAAAGTCAAAAGCCATCAACACCAGCCAGCGGTTTCGAGGCAAAAACTGCAACTCTGCGTGCGTGTCACGATCGTCCGTGGAAGACAGGGTCTGGTTGGGTGGAAAGGTCACGATCGAAAACCACTTCTGCAGTTAAAATTTAACGGTACGGCGCGGGACGCAACCGCGTTGAGTTGTGTACGGGCAAGAACTTTATGAAAGGTATGAAAAGGGGCACTACGGAAGCGAGCAGGGGGATGGAGCAACTGCTTGCAGTGAGCACAAAACATAACGGAGAACTGCCCCGACTTCGAAACCTTCATGCTGCCGTACATCGGAACCCTTCACGGAAGTGTTGTGGAACTAACCCTCCCATCTCACCCGACGGGGTGTCACAACCACATTTCCACCGGGGGTTCAAATGGCCCGAGATAGAGGGACACACAGGGTATGTAGGAGAAAAAGAAACAGCCCTTGCATCCTCACTTACGTCCTGTTTGGGGATTACGTTTGTGCGCATCTGCACCACCTCGGCGCCCGCGATAGCCCGCCGACGCGCCAGCGCCATTTCGTAATCCGCAAGGCCCAGGAAACCGGGGATGGGAGGCCCGCCAAAGATACTGCCCTTGGCTGCGATCACAAATGAAAAAACGCGCGCGCGTGCAGATACGTAAAACGCATTTAGACATACAGACAACTACGCGCACATGGAGAAAGACGCAAACACGACATGCCTGCAGAATGTTCGCTCAAGAAGCTATAGCCAGCAGCAGGGCGGAAGCGGCAGGGGACGGACGTGGCAAGAAGGTTGTGGAGACAGTGACGAATGGCAATGGTGCTGACAAAGAAATGACAGTGATGACGATGGATTCAATCAGTGACGGCGGAAACAGAGAGGTCGGCGAGGATGCACCGAGGACGCGCACCCTCCCTCCTGCCATCACACCCTCCCTTCCCCTCCCTTCCCCTCCCTTCCCCTCCCTTCCCCTCCCTTCCCCTCCCTTCCCCTCCCTTCCCCTCCCTTCCCCTCCCTTCCCCTCCCTTCCCCTCCCTTCCCCTCCCTTCCCCTCCCTTCCCCTCCCTTCCCCTCCCTTCCCCTCCCTTCCCCTCCCTTCCCCTCCCTTCCCCTCCCTTCCCCTCCCTTCCCCTCCCTTCCCCTCCCTTCCCCTCCCTTCCCCTCCCGTCCCCATGCGCGCTCCTCAGTTCCATCTTCCCACCTCTTACCCGTGGGAAGGTCGATGAGCGGAATGGCGTCCACTCCCGAGTCGATATCCGAGCCGCGGTCATTGGGGTCTCGCATCAACTTCTCCAGACTGAACGGCTCCGGGCCATTGTCCGTGTGTGCATGAGTAGAGGAGAAGCTGCCCGTGTGCTTGAACCACTGGTTGGAAAGGACCTCTGGGTGGCCATGCTCCAGAGGGGGTGGCTGGTAGGCCTCTGTCACATCGCGCGGCTCCTCGCCCATAAAGAGGAAGCGCAGGTTATCGGGCTCGGAGATGGGAGTGGCAACGCCGCTGCCGTGGGGTCGAGGCCGTAGGGACTGGAGAGCGGCTTCGGCGGCCCGTAGAGCGTCTTCCAATATCTTTTAGAGGATTGACAGGTTGGATACCGTATAGGAGAGGTTGGATGGGGCGTTTAGTTTAGTGCGTGGGTGGAGTTGTGTGGGTGCGGGTGTGTGGGTGGGGGGGTTACTTGGGTGGGCGTGAAGGTGCGTGGAAAACGGCGGGGTTCGCGGCGTCGACAGCGTTGGGGCGGATAGTGTTTTTCAGGCAGGTCTTCAAGAGCAGAACTAACACGTGCTTTCCAACGCCAATTGCCTCCTGATTGAGCCGACAACATTACTACCGGCGTTTTCGGCTCACCCTGTTCGCATGCATCCACTTCCATGTCTCTTACCGCAGACCTGCGGCCCTGCTTAGCCCTTTCCCCAACTTCACCTGTTTATGTTCCCGGCGGTTCACTCGTTCAGGGTTCACCCAATACCGGTTCCAGGGGTGGCCCCATGTTTCAGCAGATCAGCTAGGCTGGAGGTTTGTGCGAATTCGCTACCTCACGGCCGACTACCTCCAATGCTGCGGCCTTCAGCGCCCTCCCCTTCCCCGCGTTTCTTTTCCTCATCTCTGCCTTTCCCGCTACCTCAACATCTACAAGCAACATCGGATGGGGCACCACTCCGCTCCCGCCCTTGCCCACGTCATCCCCATGTAATCCCCGACCTGCTCGCGGCCCTTGAATGGCCCGTTAGACAGCAGCCGCCTCCGTGCCTCGGCCGCCTCAGCAGCTGCCCTCTCCCGCTCCCTCACATGGGCAGCGTCCTGTGGGGGCACGGAGCAAAACCATCACCATTACACACACCACCACCCTTCTCACCATCCCAACACCAAACGACTACAACGAAGATCCCGAGTTGATATACAGCCCGAGTTTGCCAGCAATCAAAAGGGCCCCGAGGACTGGTGGCATGGACGGCTGATATGGTTGGGAAGTTGGGTTGAGGACGGAGTGGGAGCTGAAAAGGGAAGTGGCATAACCTAGACAACAAAACAAAGGAATACTGCTGACATCTAAGGCAGACTGCCCCGCCGGCAGCGAGTGAGTGAGTCTGCGAGCAGCGTGGCTGGGCCTTTACCTCAGGGGTCGACTGGCCCAAATCATCAGCGGTCTGGGTCGCAGTAGCTGGCCGGCTGGAGACTGTTGTAGAACAGAAGCCCGGCCAGGGTCAGAGCAAAATGAGAAGATGAAGGAAAAGAGAGGAAAAGGAAAAGGACACGGGGGTAGGGGCCGTGGGAGCGGGAGGAGGGTCACAAGTACGATGATCAAAGAAATTGAAGGGGTGAGAAGGACGAAGCCAGCAGTTGTGAGGCAATTTGTTACGGGAGCTAACGTTGGCCGTTTACCTGGGGAGATACATTGGGGATGCGGATGCTCGCCCCTGCATGCGATAGTCCGCCCTGCACTCCTGCCCCCAATCTCCTAAGCCAAATGCCCTAGCCTTCTCCCGCAAAATGCCAAAAACCATGTAAAATGTACGCATCCTAACCCTAATCCCTAGGGCGTCAATTTATATGAAGGCATCCATCTATTATGACCTGCAAATGAACTAATGCATGGAATGATTACATCATGTCACTGAGGCCTAGACTGAGGCCTAAACCGTAAGGCTGTAACCGCATTCCGCGGCGGCAGCTACAACCCGCCCGCCCAAACGCCAGCCTTGCTTAAGTCGCCCCCACCGCCAACCTCCTCAGGCAGCACTCACTCAGATCTGTCCATGAGTCTTCATCCTCGGCTACGTCGGAGCCGTAGTACGGCGCATCGGGCTCATCAAACGGCGTCACACCTTTTGCCAGCTGCATGGACTTCCGTACAGCCGCCTGACGCGTTGCGGCGAACTCCTTGGCCATCTGGAGCGCGAGTTATGGGGGTAGGGAGAGAGACTCGCCAAAGGTTATGTCGGTGGGATCTGTTATTTTTCCTCGAATGGGCGGTTATAGAAGACGTGAGGTGCGGGCAAGGTCGCTACGAATCTACCAGGGCGAGGGCCGCTCCATCCCAGGCTGCGTAAAAGCAGCAGATTTTAGCGGCAAAAGCGGTACCAGCGAAGGTAACAAACGCATCAGCGGCAACAAACGAAGAAACCCTAAGAATTCCATTCGCAGCCCTTATATGTATACCCCTTGCGGCGACTCTGGCGTTCAGGAGGCAAGCAATTAAGCTAATACGATACCAATTCAGAACCTCTTCGCGTCCTCTTTGCCCCTCGCTACCTCTTGCCGCATTTTGTAAATCAACCCCTCATGCAAAAACACCAGTCAGCCCCAAACAACCAACGATTTAGCCGCGTCTGTCTGTTTGTCTGCCTGCCTCTGCCGTCTTGCTCGTTTCTCAGTCCATATGTCGATTAGGTCTGTCTGTCTGTCTCTCTGTCTGTCTCTCTGTCTATCTATCTTTCTGTCTATCTGTATGCCTGCCTGTGCCACCACTGACCTGTAGCCGGTGCACCGCGACCTGGCTCGTCCTCACAGCCCCGGTGTCCCCGGAGGGATGAGGGGCCCGGGGGGAAGCCTGGACGGTAGGGCCAGGGGCAGGGGCACGGGATCCAGCAGAGCGTGGGGAATGCCGGGGGGGTTTTTAGAAGACAAAGCCGCATCGGAGACTCAGCAACTCCTGCATGGGCACTAAAGCCACGAGCTCACTGAAATCCGATGGGGACACCGAAATCTCGAAAGGTTTCGGGATGGGCCCCACACGTCGGTTTTTCAACTTCGGTGGTGTAGGTGGTGTTTCCGACGCAAGTCACGGCAGGGCTTTGAGCACTTGGGGCGAGAGGCACTGGATATGGAAGCAGCCTGGTCGCGGGCAAGTAGGAGCGGTTCATGCTGGCAATACCTACGTATTCTTGTTAGTGACAACTGCCACCACGGTATAGTGGAGGCATGGAGGCCAGGCACGTTTCCTTCCCCTCACAAAACTTTGCATTATATGTCCTCTTTCCTCAATTTACAACACAAGGTTCAAGCCCGTGCGAGCCGCGCATGAAGCCGGCAAGCGACAGCAAGGAGAAGAGTCGTGCACGGCGAACTTACCTGCTCCGCCTTGTTCTTGACATTCCACAAGTCCATTTTCTGGAGCTCGGGCGGCAGCGGTGTCTCATCCGCCCCCCTGCACCTCACCGGCCGGTGCACGGTGGGCATCTCGGCCACCAGCTCCGGCGGCAGCGGGCCCTCGCCCCGGTAGCCGCGCTGCTTGATCTTCTTGCCGGTGGCGGGGACGGGGGCCACGTAGTCGGGGGAGGACATGGCCTCCAGGTCCTGGGGGGCCGGACCAGGGACGGGGTTAGGAAGGGACGGAAGGGGAGGAAGCGAGGGCCACACACAGCACATGCGTGTTGGAGAGGGTTACAGATGAAGCATTAAAGATTTACTGTAATTTTTTAAAGTCTTGATTCTTCGTCTCTTGTGGGGAAACCTCTTTTAACCAGCTAAAATATTATACGAGTACAAATCCCAGAAGTGTTAATTGTAACAATGTAAATTAGACGTAAATCCTCCGGTAAATATGGTAACTACCCGGAAATATTAATCTTCCCAAATATACGATAGAGGTGAACAGCACAATATATATGGGCATAAAATCGATTCCTTAGGGTTTTAGGGTTTTAGCAAAAATAAAGAGGGGAAGGGTAACTGACGGTGGAGGCTGGGAACAATGGAAGCAGCAGGGGGTAACAACACCTAATCACGGTGCACAGCAGTACGGAAGCTGATGAATTGCCGCCGTCATAAACCGCCGACCTCAGCAACCCTGAAAAACGGCTCAAGAGGCTCTCATAAGTCCCAGCTATTCCGCGAACGTAGCACAAATCCCCAAGGCCCCACCTCCACTATCGGCCCCTGTCGCACCTTGGGCAGATATTCTAGCACCTCTCGGTTGACTGCGCCGTGACTGTACGGGTCGTACATTACTGCTGTCGGCATGCCGTCGTCAAGACCAGCGGCGGTGGCGCCCGCATCTGATGGCGCAGAAATCATGCTACCCGCGTGGCTGTGCGAAGCTGAGGCGCCGCCGTCGCCACCGCCGCCACCACAACCGCCGCCGCCGCCGCCAGTCTTCATGCCCGTCATCAGCGGCCTTGCGCAGCAGCCATAGGCGTCCAAGCGCCAACCATATCATGGTTCATGAGCGAGTGAACACGAAAAAAAGGTAAAAACAAGGTAAAAACAAGCTGTGCACCTAGGAGGAAGAGAACCGTAAAAATTCGAACGCCACGTGTAAAACCTTCAGCACTGATGTGACCAGGGCAATATAGGATCTGCTATCTCACCTCAAGCGCACCCAGGTCGTGTACAGGGTGGCATGGCGGGTGGGTCGCATGACCCTCGCGACTGCCGACCACTCTGCCTGCGTGACCCGCTGCACGGGCACCCTCTGCTCACGTAGCTCCGGCCGGGGCTGGGCCGCTGCATTCACAGCGCTGCACGATGCGTGCGCTGTGTCCTTTAGCGGATCAGGGAACACCCAGCCTTCGCGATGCCCAGGGGCAGTGGCGGTGGCCGCTGGCGGCGGAGGCAGCAGCGTCGTCGCCGCTGCAAGGCTGCTTCGCAGCGGCCACGGCTTGGAGCTCTGCTCGCTGACGGCCCAGATCGATGTATCGTAAATTCGTAACTTGTCGTACAAGTATGACGCGTGTTCTATAATGGCCTGCAGCGGTTACGAAGGGTGGGAGAGGGCGCAAGACCGACGGAGAAGTAGGAAGATCGACCCACGACAGCACCTGAGCCCAGCAGCCTCTGCCCCACGTCTCTTTGCCCTCTCCGTTTCCTGCATTGCCGCCGCTTTCAATGCTCCACATTCGCAGTTATCCTTTGCTCTCCCCCCGCCTTTCAGCCGCCGTTGCCTCCTACCTCAACCTTACCCCACCCCACCCCACCCCCGGGCCCTCCCTCGCGCCCCCCTCACCTGCAGCCATGCATCGATCTCCACACTCTTACAACCCAGGCGGGCCATCTGGGGCAGTAGGAGCAACTTGGCGTCCAGCCTGCAGCCCGGCGGGGGGGAGGGGGAGAGAAGAAATGGCGGTGCGGCAGGGGAGTTCGTCAGGAGGTAAAGGGAAGGGGAGGGCGGAGAGAGAACACGGAAAGGCAATGACAGGATTACCAACTACGACAGAAGCGGATAGGGCCGCGACACATCGCTCGTCACTCGCGTGTAATCAGCCAATCTCAGGACGCCCACCTGTCGTACTCTAGCGTCGCGGCGCACTGCAGGTGGTAGATCAGCATGTGCAGCTTGGAGCTGCCGTACATGTCTGTAGGGAGGCATGTACAGGTTGTACGGGAGAAGAAAAAATGTTGGGAGGGCAGCGATGAAAGCCGCGGGAGATCATGACGTCCATGGGGAAGTAGCTGGCAAGCATAGGGGGGCAGGCCGGTCCAGCTGCCACAAGTAGCCGCCTTCCGATAGCATCAAGAAACAGCGTTACAGCGGCATTCATTCTGCGTTTCACTGCAGTAAAAAAACCCACGTTCAGATTTTCTCTTATGCGTCTTTTACGATGCTTACCTATTTCAAACAGGTACGTCCCCTAGGTTACTACACCTTTGGGGGGTAACGCAACCCCAGGAGGTGTATAACACACACACGCGCGCGCGCACATATTCTCTGTAAACCGGTCCCCCTCGATTTCCCGGGAATCCCTTCATTTGGCGTTCATTCCGTTCCCATTCCGTGCTCAATCTGGAGGACTGAGGGGCCTTTTGTTTAGAACATATCGAAGGAGTTCGGCTGAAATGGTCATATTCATCTCTAGAGGCCGTCTAACATCGTCATGCCAGCGTTTGTTTTAAGCGAGAACATGACTGCGCACGATGAAGGAGAGTGTTTTGGAGCACCGCTCAGAAAAACGCGTACAAACGCACGCAGCCTTTGTCCGCATATACATGTAAGGTTTTGCACGACTGAGTCACGCCCTCGCTTTCCCACGTCGTCCACTCGCTCAGCTCAGGATTACATCTCGGGGTAGTCCCTCCCCCTGCCCCCCCCCTAAGTGACTCTCCATCACCATAGCCATCCCGCTTCACATTACGTAACCCCCATCCCTACCCACCTACCCAGAACAGGGCTCCACCCATACCCCCCTCCCCCTCTCAGCTTGATACCTTCTCCCCCTTCTCCCCCCTCGCCCCTCCTTCCCCTCCCCCCGGTCTTCCCCCTCCTCCCCCCTCGCCCCTCCTTCCCCTCCCCCCGGTCTTCCCCCTCTTCCCCCCTCGCCCCTCCTTACCCTCCCCCCGGTCTTCCCCCTCCTCCCCCCTCGCCCCTCCTTACCCTCCCCCTGGTCTTCCCCCTCCTCCCCCCTCGCCCCTCCTTACCCTTCCCCCGGTCTTCCCCCTCCTCCCCCCTCGCCCCTCCTTCCCCTCTCCCCGGTCTTCCCCCCCCTCCCCCCTCCCCCCTCCCCCCCCGCCCCCTTCACCACCCACCCAGTTCAGTGACCGGCATAAGGCCCCTGGCCGCCTCCATGTGTTCCGCATACAGCCGGGGAATGTCCTCCCAGCGGGGAACCACCACGGGGCCGGGGACAAAGGCGCGGGGGAGGCGGAGCTCCTGCTCGGAGATCTGGGCAGGGAACACAGGAGGGGAGCACAGGAGCCAACACAGGAGGGGGCAAGGGCAAGGAGTGCGCGTGTCAATTCTTCTGTAAAGGAGAGTAAATCCACCACGTGATTAAAAATGATTAAAAATGATAAAAATGATAAAAATGATAAAAATGATTAAAAATGATTAAAAATGATTAAAAATGTTGCTTTCCTAGATGTTACAGGTTATGGCAGGGCAATTGAACAAGGGAAGGCATAAGCACAAGTCTGTCAGTAAACCAACTGGAGGTCGCCCTTGCATGACGTACGCCGTTAGGTGCGTGCCCTGCTCGGTACACCCCCCACAAACACCGCACTCGATCCACATCTTCGCACCAACCCGACCATCTGCCGTACACACGTGCTCGCCTTGATGACGGCGGCGGAGTCGCTAAACGTACGCACGCCCCGCCCCGACGCCCTCGCCTCCTGCGCGCCCAGCTCCTGCGCCCGCGTCGAATGAATTGGGTGCTTGAACGGCACGTCGTAAGTTCGCCAACGGTCCTTAGGCGCGAGGCTGAGCACATCGAGTTCCACCAAGGTCACCGGCTTGGGCGCCGTCACTGATGTTGCCATAGCTGCCGCCGCCGGCCGTCCGCTGTTGCCGCCGCCGCTGCCGCCGCCATCCCTGCTACCGCCGTGCCATCTGGCGTTGGATGGCGATGGCGACGGCGTTGCGGGACGCGGTGGGGCACTCAGAATCTCTGTTCCTATCGAGCTTCGTATTTTCCGAAGCAATGACGACGATGCTGACGTTGTGCTTGGGGCGACTGAGGTGGTGGCGGTGGCGGCGGTTGCAGCGGAGGCGGAGCTGGTCGTGGAGGTGAGGCTGCACGTCTGACGTGCCGCGGAGAAGGCGCGGCCGGCAGAGGAGGGCCGGCTACGGGTCGGGCCCCCAGGTCCATCTGGCGGGATGCTGAGCGCGGTGGGGACTAGCGTGAAGAAGTAGCCGGAGGGGACGCGGCGACCACAGCTGGTGCGAAGATCTGCGAGGGAGCGCAATGGCCGGAATGTCCGGAATCCACGCTTTTATGGCTATTGTATATCTTTTTATATAGCTAATCAGTACTTGAACTTTCTGACAGCAACCGCTGGGAAGATTGCAACATTAGATCCAAATCCAGGCGATTTAGGCAAGAAGCATCCAGACGAAACACATAGCATCTGTCTTATGCAGGTGCGAACATTAATAAGATTTGATTGTTACAAACGAAGTCTGAACTTGATGTGTTCAGAGCATTCTTCCGTTGCTACGGAGCGATTGCAAATCGGCGATTGTCCGAGACTCTTCGACCTCCTTCGACACCCCTTCGACGCTCGTTAACCATGGGGCGACGAATGCCGCAGCGGACCGCTGCCTGAGAGGATTTTCTTTTATAAAGATGGATAATAACCTTATCATGTCAATCCATTGGGTAACGCTTTCCAGGCCACTTATCAGGGAATTCCTGGCCTGCTGCATTTTTCAAATCCTTCCGCCCACTTACTGGAATAGTCGTATGTGACGTGGTGGACATACGCCCCACCTCCGCGGCTGCGCAGGTTGCTGATCAGCGGCCGTCTGGCCAGCTCTCCCCAGGTGTTGGGACGGGGCGGGTCGACCAGGTGCGCCTCGCGGTCCTTGTCACTGTTGCGTGGGGCGGTCTCGTTGGCGGCCTAAAAACAGGGAGCAGGGAGCAGGATTGTGAAAAGGGCGCGATGCGAAAGGGGAAAGAAACAGACGAGGAGGAGTATTGGAGGACAGGGGGCGCAATGGGAGGGTAGGAGGCTTTCGGGAGAGACGTAAGGCAGACGTCGCAGCCATTCTCTTGCATCATAAGATAACTCTTCCCTGCAATTTGGTCCCATGACCATACCCCAAGCCAACTTTTTAAGTTGCTGAACTTGTGGCATGCTGGACAAGGATTCAAATCCTATATTCGATATTATATCCCTCAGCGATGTCTCGGTGTTGGGGCACTGGATTGGAATGCACACTCCAGCTGTGGCCCATTATTATTATTATTATTATTATTATTATTATTATTATTATTATTATTATTATTGTTATTATTATTATTATTATTATTATTATTATTATTACTATTATTATTATTATTATTATATTCAGAGATGGAAAAGATTTAGAAATTTTTAAGTTTACGTATACGAGCAGAGGTGTAGTTGGCTACGAGGGAGTTGTTAAAACCTTAACAAATAGCACAGAGGGATGGGGGCCAACAAAGGCAACAGAGCTGTTATGTGCGAAATCCCCCAACAAAGGCATCAGAGCTGTTATGTGCGAAATCTGTCGACGGTGCATTCAGAGTCCATCGACAGATGTCACGGTGCCGGTGAAACAATTGTGATGCTTTGCTCAGAGGTACGACGGCTTGGAAGGAGGAGAGCAGCCTGCCCTGCCTGGCAGCTGCTGAGCAGGTTCATCCTTGACATAATATTCGTGTTCACGCCGCCTCCCCACGCACCTAGCCAGGGGGACCCTCCTTCCCTTTTTCACGGGGGCCCCTTTTCTCTAGGCCCCTTTTCCTTGGCCCTTCCCGCACCTTGGTATCCAAGAGGTCCACTCCGTGCGCGTCGCAGTACTCCACAAGCCCCGAATCGGGCTCGGTGGACTTGGGCCCGCGGAAGCGCATGCGGGTGTTGGCGTACTGGTACTCGCCTGGCATAAATAAGGGGGACGAGAGACGTAAGCATGAACATAACAGAGCGGCGGAGGGAAATGTATCTCAAGGGGGCATTTAGGGTTTCAGGGGTTTTAGGGCCTATAGATAGAATTTGGGACGCAAGAGCACTTAATGGGCTTATCCCACTTATCCCATTACGCTCGTTAGTTAAGCTAATGTCGATTACTCTTCCTCAACTACACAGAAGTAAGGTGGTTACAGGAAATTTCCAAATAAATTATAATTTCTAGTGGTGCAAATCTCGCCTTGAGTGCGAGAGGCCATGGGTTCGAATTCCGGGAGTTGCGTTCTGTCCTTCAAGGAGTCCCCCTTTCCATGGACGCCCTGCACATGTGTTCGGAACTTGTAACTTGAAACTACCTTGCACACTCATGCACCACCATCATCGTCCTCCACAACCTTCCTTCCCGCCAGCCCCTTCCCTCACCGTTGGTCGTGTGCGCCACCACCTGCCTCTGCTCCCAGGGCAATGGCGGCTGCTTTCCTCCCTCCAGCTGCCAGGCCGCCTCAGCGCGCGGAGTAGGCTGCCACGAAACAACGAAGTCAACCAGATGTCGACCCCACTTGCCAAAGTACGTGGACAAACGTACCTATCATGAGGGGAGGTGATGGACCGCAGTCAGCAAAAAAATGAAAGAAACAAGCAAAGCCAGACCGGCCGTAATGCAGAATATTAGCAGCCGGACCAGGCAGCAGCAGATTTATCATGGAACACGCGTCGAACACAGGCACACACATGCAAACGTGCGCGCCCGCACGTTCCCGGCGGCTCGTGGTGCGGGAAAGGGAGGGCCTCGCACCTTGGTCGTCGGGAAGCTACGGTGCTGCATGTACTGGAAAGTGGCCCGTGGGTCGGCGGCCTCCAGGCAGTACAGCGCACCAGCAGGCAGCACAGGCCACAACTCCGGAGGCAAGGCGAACACTGTGGAAGAGGGCAAGGAAACGGGGTGTGATGGCACAGAGACGTCCACGGGTATGCAGTACGCATGTGTGTGTGTGTGTGCGTACGTACATCACACGATGCACGGAGCTGCAAGCTCAGGCTACCGGGGGGAGGCAATGTCAGCTACCCTAACCCTGTCCATCGGCTTGCACCCTAACGGACCGAAGCACCACCAAAAAGCCACCATCATCATGATAGCGGTGCATCAGGGGCTACGGGCCAAGGCCAAAAGTACTGCCTGATACGAGTGCACAGCTGTCGGAATTGGAGCTCAGTGGGCCCCTTGACAGGGCGCGTGTACACGCCTTCTACGGGCCAGGCAGGCAAAGGCAACCCGCATTCTTATCGCTTACCTGAATCCAGTCGGCCAGTCAGCGGGTCGTCGGCGGGGTCCAGCAACATGAAGCAAGCAGCCCGCATCTCGGCCTTGAAGTCCTTCAACGCACGGGCCGACTGCACGCAATTTCGAACCATCAGGACATGAATCGTGAAGCAGGGGCACTTTGGAATGCATGTAGCCGAGCGCGTGCAAAAACATAGGCCGTATGCGCTTCGAAGGAAGGGCAAGGGCGGCGACGAAACACAGAGGCATCGAAAACCCAGTAGGGTGCTGGCACAGCAGACTGGACGCCGTGAGCGGGTACTTTGTACGGCATGAGTGGTGATACAACTGCATGGAGGATTGACAGACAGCAACGACGAACCAACCCTACAGCAGGTTCTCTGAAGAATTTTGTCATCAGTGCCTGGCTGTTATCTTCCAACCCTGGTGAATCCTCCTGCACAATCCATACAGCCACTACTTGTCACGAACTAACGACAAGGAAGCCTCGCAGAAGGGCTCCACCTCTCCCTCTCTTCTCTCTCCCTCATAGGACCTCCCTTTCCTCGAACCCCTTCCTTTCACGTACCCAGGGCAGCAGCGGTGTCACAGCCGATGTGCTGCTTGGGGCAATGACCTTCTGAGTCTGCTGTACCACTGGAATCCGCTGGCTGGAGCCGAACGGCCCGCTCCGCTCCATAACGCCACCCAGGGTGACCGGAAGATGATCTCCCCCAGCACCAATAGCGTCGGTGCTCGTACTCGCCACGCCAGACCCCTCCAACGGCAGTCCGCTCCTATGCGCGCAGGAGCCCTGGCTGGATGAGCCTCCGGCCACCGCGATGGCCGCGGTGCCGCTCACGGGCGCATGCGCCATCCGGCTGGTCGATGCACCCGATGCCACACGCCCACTGTGTTTTCGACTGGTGCAGCCATTCGATGATGCCCCGGTGGCGCTATTGCGACTCGAGCTACGGCCGGGACCGGTTTCCAAAGGACTCCATCCGAGCTCAGTAGCCTTGTAAGGCGATGAGCCGGCCTCCGACGGCGCTCTGCTCGGACCGGCTGGGGTCAGACCTCCTCCGGCGCCTTCTCCACCCTGTCCAGGCCCTTCCGCACGATTGCCCTTCCTGAGCGGCCCTGAGCTGGTCCCAGGGGCGTCAGACGCCGCCGACAGCGCTTTCGGGCTCCTGTAGATGGAGCCTCGGCTACTTCTACGGGCTTCCAGCTCTGGCATTGGGCTGCTCCTGAGAGGTCTGGCACCCATGGTGCTAGATGCATGGCTAGCGGCCAGAGACGACCGATGGCTCTCACGGCGACTGGAGCCGTTACCGGAGCCAGCAGACGGCGGCGGCTGCTCGAGCAGCTGGGAGATCCTGGACCCACGGATGCTTCCATCGATTTGACAGTTGGACAGTGTCGGCGGCGTCGGCGTCCTAACCTTGTGCTGGCCGCTAGCACCACCGCTACTGCCGCCACCACCACCACCGCCGCTACTGCTGCCAATCTCCGGCGGTAGTCGTGTTTGCATTTGCGATGATGCAGCTAGCTTGTAAGTTCCGGACTCGTCCGCATCAGAAGGCAGGTGGGCGCTGTGAGGCGGGGGGCCGAAAGATGAAGTGGTGCTGCGCCGACTGGAACCTGTCCCTAGCGATGGACGGCTTTTGGATTCGCTAGCTCCCGTGCCGGCATCCGACGGCGTTCGGCCGCTGCGGCTGCTCTTTAGGCTACGTCCCGTATCTTCCCCACGGCCGCCACGGCTACTCCCCACCTTCGATTTTGCACCCGCCTCTGCGGTCGAGGAACCCACGCCCTGCCGGGCTGCAGTAGCTGCAGTAGCAACGCGTGCAGCAGTAGCAGTAGCAGCCTCCTCTGGCCGGAGGCTTTCTAGCGATGATGCGGCGCCATCGGGGTCTCCAGTACCTTCCTCTGTGTTAGAAGAAGTACGGTACCTGTGGGCGGATCGGCTGGCTTCAAGCCCCAACAGCGGGAGCGGTACCTTGTGTCGTTGGGGAACCTGCACCAAGACCGCCTCCTCATTGGCACCGCCCTCCACGGCCCCCGCAGCGGCGGCGGTCTGCTGGTTGCTGCTTCCCGCCGTATTTAGCAGGTCCACCAAGAGCTCCGCCACCTTGGTGGGCAGCGCCTCCGGCGCGTCCAATTGCTCCGAAACCAGCCACCCAGATCCAGCCTCCTTACCACACTCGTGACGGAGCTCCTCAACCAGCTGCTGGGTGCTTTGGTTGAAATACGCAAGATAGTATAGCTGCAGACGTGCAGGAAACACAGGTCAGGCAGTTGTTATACACGTAAGAAATGGGAGCTTTTGATGGCGTGGGTAAAAAGCAGTGGGTACCCTTTTCTATTTCAGCAACAGCGCACAAGAGACGGGTTAAGGGAAGCAGTAATTGAACGGCCCGCGCCGAGGCTTCTCTTGCAGCGATGGCAGTGGCGGTTTGCGGGCGGTTTGCGGCAACAGGCGTTCCACGAGTTTCTAGAGACAGGATAAAAAGCGTCAAGGCTAGGACCGTGGTAAGTAGGGGGAAAGGTCTCAAGCGCAGTGATGCACATGAAGGCCAGATGCCTCAGTAGCTTGCCTCGGCGTAAGACACAAGGCTGGGAAGCAAACCGTTCAATAGCAGCAGCACGCATACTTATACAGGGCTAATTTGCACCGCTTTTGGTACTGGGGCCGCCGGAATGGCAGCCTTGGCGCGGCGAAAGGTGGGCCACAGCGCGGAAACGCAAAGGCGCGCCGGTCGGCCCAACCCCCCATGCACCCACCTGCACGCCGCATTCCTTTCGGAGCCGCCGTAAAATAGCCGCGTGCCGGGTCCTGCGAGCTGTGACATAGCCGGTATCGCTGGTGTCCCCTTTGCCACCAGAGCTTATATCATGAGCGTCTGAGACGTGCACGAGCAGTCGGTTGCTGGCCGACCAGCCAATATTTGCCACCTCCTCCAGGGGGTGGAAAAAATCTTGGTGTTTTTGCGCTGCGCCGCCCAGATGTAGTATTTCAGTAATTGCCTCTCTGAATGTTTCGTCGCCCAGCCGCTTAATGTCCTCTACCACAAGGCAGCTGCTAGAGCCCACAAAAGCTGCACGGATGCTAACGCTCGAATGCTTTTTGCGAACGATTGCGTCTGTGACGTTTAGGTTATCGCACAGAATTTTGAAAACATCTCGCCGTCCCTCCGTGCCGTCGAGTAGGAATGCGACGTCTACCAGCTTGGCATCCTCGACGACGACGCGCCCCGTGTCGGACACCTCAGCGCCCCGTCCTGCGGCTAGCTTTTCACTGTATGTAGAGCCTGATTCATTTTCGTTTGCTTCTATAGCGTCTTCGGAAGGTTCGGCTGATGGTGGGCTGCCGCTTTCACCCTGTCCAAAACGCGAACCTGCGCCCATCCTTCCCTTTTTTTATCAGGTACACTTATGTCAATGTATGTCATGTAATCATTGCTTTGCGCTCATTGCTTACATCTAAGGTAGTTCAACCTTTTTCTCCGTACGCATTCGTGGGGAGATAGATGATAGGATGTTAGACATACATCAACCATGATCGACTATGAAGTAGGCGTAGACATGCGCTTCCAAGGGCGTCCTTCGCCAGTGGCGAGGGCACTAGCTTTGCAATAACTTCCGGAGGATCAACCGCTGCTTGTGGCTACTTCAATTTATTCAAATGATACTAGGTAGCATAAACACGATACACTGGTAATCTAACCTCAAGGCGCGTATAATCTTTGGGATGCGCGCACGGCAGCTAGTCGGTAGGATTCAACAAGGTTAGTGTTTTTTTCCTCCATACTGGCAGACACGCAGCAAGGCAAAGAAATTCGTTATCAAAAACAGACCGATAAAACACGTAATCAGGCTTTTTGGCTTAGAAGGAGCTATTTCATGGCTCCTGATGGGCCAAGCCGGCTCCCATTTTTAACCTCAAGAACGAGGACATAAACATTGTGGTCGACATACTAACTCCTTATCCATTCCATAATATGTATACAAGGCAACGGTGCTTGGCCAAAAAATGCTGTTTGGAATGTTGTTCACGATTTAATGCACGCACGGCAACCGTGAGCTTGAAACTATTACGTAGCTACATGGTTTAAACTGCCGAAGCCAAAACAGGTAGCAGCATGGCGTTGCTACTGTCCGAGGAACATTTACTGGGCCTTGTAACGTGTTTTCCAAGCTGTTTAACACTGCTACAAGAAGGTCATTCAGCAAGGTCGGGTCCGTAGAAGGTTAGCGCTGCTTCCTCGAGTGATACCCCGTAGCGAGTAGCCTCGTGTAGAGGTAGGTAAATCAAGGTGATTTACCTATTCATGGCATTAAATGCATCAGCACTTTTTACTTAAAATGGAAATTCGCAAATTTCTGCACATGTAGACAGATGAGTGAACCTGTTTCAGCGGGAACGTAACTAGCTACACCTGCGCTCGAAGGTGGCGAACGTAGCTAGTAACAGTGACGTAGACGAGATAGGTACCATGCTCACCATAGCGAATCCAACTCGCTGGCGGCCGAGCCACGATGCTAGGGCTAAATCGATATTACAACTTCCCGCATCAGATACCGCAGTTTCGGAGCTTCTGCATATGGCCAACCATTTATGATAGTTGCTGCCCGGCTTTTACGGACGGGCCCCCGCATTTGAACTTGCAACTCGTAACTTTAATCGCTTTCATCAAATCAGCTGCAATGGCCTTGTTATGCTCTGCTGAAAACCTATAAATTTCTGCGTTCGACAATCCAATTCCTATGTAAAATATCGCCTAAAACTCCATTCGGGGGTTTGGGAGTTTATGGCATGCGCATCACCAGCTGGTAACGTCGAAAATGCAGCTGTCCTGAAGCCGCCTTCCGTGCTAGATTAAGCGTCGCAGCTGGCTCGCCCGTCGTCGACCTGCGGCAAGTAAACTCAACCACGCGCGATGCAAAGCTGGAGCTCTCTCAACGCTGCACGAGCAGCAGCAGCAGCAGCAAACGCCGCCTCAATCCCAGAGTTCTACAGGACGACCGAAGCCGACGACTCCAGTTCATTGTGGGTGTTGGAATGGGATGAGGCATTCTGATGGAGCTAGTGTGGTTCGTTCAACGGCTTTGCCGCATGGGTTTCAGCCATGTCCTGCCATGATGTCACGCCGGTTGTCACGCCATTCATTCTGTCTGTATACCAGAGGGTCTTCCATTAGCTGGAGGAGAAACCTCTAGTGTGAAGGTTTGGTTAGTTGTGCCCGCATGACCGTTGACTCCAACTTTTCCGCCAAGCCGTACACCACCTTAGTTGGCCTTCATTATCGCTAGACACGTCGGGAACATGACAGCGTCGTGGAAGCAGTCGCTCTCCTGCGGGCGCTGCTGATGCGCAGGGTGCCTTGGCCGGCAGGCATGAGCGGCACAGAAATTCTCAACCCTAATCCCTTCTAAAGCTCCAGCGTGCAACCACAGATGGGAGCTGTCTGGCGTTGTCTGGCGGCAATCCTAGGGGAACCCCAGCCTCCCAGAAAACATGTACTCGCTGGCTCGTTTATGACCCTGCAGCAGGGAGGCTTCTGTTAGGCTGTATCCTAGCTCGGGGCAGACGAGCCCCCCCTTTTCGTTGTTCTGCAAGGACCAAACGCGCTATTGTGCATCAAGTCCCCTATCTATGACCATGGACGAAAATACATCCATGCGGGTGATCCATACGAAAGAGGAGCGCCGAGGTGTGCCTTTAGCAGAGGCACGCCAGGTCTAAATGCAAGCCCTGTGTCTCATGCACCCTATGAGCTCAAGGACATGTATCGTTTGACAAATACGATGATAGGTTTTCTTCCTTGCAATTGCCGTATTGCGTCCTACAGCGCTGTGCCGTACACAGTCGATGCGCCGCTTGCCCATTATGCTTATCAAATCACAACCAAATGCAGACATGATCGATGCTTGTATCCGTTGGCAGGGATGCCTTTAAACATTGCGGCCAGTTTGGAGCCTGCTGGGCCGACTTCAAGAAGGACGCTATTTATGCGATTGCGAACTGAGGTTAACCACACGATAATGTAGATATTAAACAAAACCTTCTTACAAATGCGGCCTGGTCGCGACGTTTTCGGTGTAGCTGTCATGGCTTTCAAGCGGTGACCATGATGTCCCTGATGCGGGAAGGTCGTCATCTGGCCAAGGATGGGAATAAATGGCCTATTACAGCAATTGAAAAGCATATCAAGGCCCACGCATGTGAGCTCATACCGTGGACAGAAGGTGGCCATAGATGGTTACTCGTGGCTCCACAAGGGTGCTTACAGTTGCAGCCGCGAGCTATGCGAAGGAATCTGGGCCGATGGGTAAGCACTGGTCCTCCCATCCCGCATTCGTCTAGACGGGGCTCGTCGGTGTGCCTGGGATGCCCCTTCTCACTCACAGCTCCCGTCACTTCACATTCCCCTCAGTCCCTCAGATGTCCCTAGTCACCTGATTCCATCGCCACTTCCTTCCTCTGAGTTAACCACGCAGATATACCAGGTACTTTATTTCGCGAATCGACATGCTCCTGGGCAACGGAGTCATTCCTATCGTCGTTTTCGACGGGTGCCGCCTCCCCATGAAGGCTGACGAGGAGGATAGCCGTAGAAGGTGCGTAGCCACTTTCCCCCCTCCTTTTCCGCGGCTGTTTGCCACTCCCCCTCACCATCTTATCATGCGTGGCGCTTCACAGCACAGCTGCGTAGGCAACGCTAGGGCCGGCCCCAAGCGGCACGCACGAGAGCAGCACGTTTCATCCACAGCTCCCTCCCTCCGCTGCCCCGGCTCCCTCCTCCGCTTCCCGATCTTACATTACCTCCTCCTGAACTGAGCTGTCTGCAGTCACACACAAGTCCTTCACGATGAACTCCTTCACACGATGTTTATCGCCATCCACACTACCATAACTTATTCTGCTTCCCACACTCACACATAGGATGGTCCTCCCTCTCACCTCTCCTGGCCTCCGACAGATATGCCGCACCAAGAGGCGCCGGAGGTCTGGTAGTGTCTATTATGTGTCTAATAAATATCCCTCCATGAATATCCCTTTTGCATTTTGGTTCGACAGGAGCCGGCGAGAGGCCCTAGAGCGCGCCCGGACCCACTCCGCCTCGGGCAACATGGCTGCGGCCACGGAGTGCTACCAGCGGGCTGTGGACATTGCGCCGTGGATGGCCAAGGTCGTCATGGAGGTGCGCTGTTGAGAGAAGAGGGGGGCGGCTTGTCCCCCTCGTTCGAAAGCTCCGTGTTGCCGAAATCCGCGTTTTCGGTCTTACAATGAATGCGGGGGAATCAGTAAAGGCTCCATAGGGGACTAGGAGACCCGGGTGGTGCTGGGGGGGGGGTCTCATAGGATGCAAGAAGCGGAGGGTTGACTACCGGCGTGGGATTTTGGGGAACGTGAACCGACAGCCCACAGCATAACCGAGGCCTACGTTTCCAGGCTTGCACCAAAAACCATCACGGCTCGTCTCAACTCGGTGGGGATTAGGTTCGTCCTTCTGCTTCTTAACTGCGTCGTAACCCCGCCGGGTAGGCAAACTGCCTTCTCCTTGTTTGTTCTCGCCTCGCATCTCAGTCTTGCGATGCAGGACTTGCGATGTGTGTGTATTTCGCCCGCCAAGCCAACTCGCGCTGGCGCACCACGTGTTGGTTCGGTTGCTTGCACTGATGCGCGCAGGCCCTCCGCGAACGCCAGGTGACGTGCCTGGTGGCGCCGTACGAAGCCGACGCGCAGATGTCGTACTTGGCGCTGCGTGGCGACGTGCATGCTGTGCTGACAGAGGACAGTGACATGTTGGCGTACGGCTGCCCCCGGGTGCTGTACAAGTTGGACCGCGGTGGTTCGGGGGAGGAGGTGATGCTGTCGGATCTTCCTTTGGTTCGGGAAATCAACATGGCGGGTTTCAACCACGACATGCTGCTGCAGGTCGGTGTGAAATATCTTTGGGCGAGGATAGGTGGTGGTAGTCTCAACCGTGAACAGAGGAGGCTGGGATGGCGCGAAGTCGGGCTCTTTCATGTCAAAAGATTGCAGACGGACGCCGCGACAAGGAAGGAACTTAGGGTTTAGGAAGGAACTTAACATGCGGCCCATGTGGCCCATGGACCCGGGGGACGTTATTTGTGCTGGGAAGTAAAGAGGTTTCCAGCTCAGACCTATGACGCAATGCGGGAAGATTGTGGGGATGGCTGGACGGGCTTAGGCGTGTTAAGATGATCTGAGCCACCAACCGTCCGCCCTTTCTCCCCCCCCAACACACACACCACACACGGGCTACCGCTGTCGCCGTCACTAGTGGCTGCCACCCATTTTGTTGATGTCCTCGCTCCCGTCCCCCCCTGTCCGTGCAGATGTGCATCCTGGCGGGCTGTGACTTCTTGCCCAACATACCTGGGGTGGGCATCAAGAAGGCGCATGCCATGATCCGCAAGCACCGAGATTTCGTCAAGGTCAGCGTCAGCGGATGGGGGATTACGCTAGGCTAGGCTGCTGAGAGGCCCGTAGGGTTTCTCTCCTAGTAAAATGTGACTGTAGCACTTGCCTCCCGCGCTTAAGTGCTTAGGGAGAGGGCCATCTCGCGGAGCATTTTCCTTTGCGACCGCGTTATTCCGCCCACGTCATGTCATGTCTTTTCTTTCCCAGTTAAGCTCAAGTTGCTGTGTTTTGCTGTGAAGCGCAGCTCGCACTCCAAAGCTTATACATCCCCATGCCTTTGCCTCATTACTGGACGCCTCAACGCGTCGTCGTCGCAGGTCGTCCGCAACCTGCATTTCAACGGCACCTCTCCGCCTCCTGGCTACGAGATCCGCTTCCAGCGTACCCTCTGGCTCTTCCGCCACCAGCGGGTTTTTTGTCCCATCGCGCGTGCGCTGACGCACCTGCGTCCGCTGCCGCCTGGCGGCTTGGGCGCCGCAGATGTTCTGGTGCTGGCGGCGTTGCCGCCTGAGGGCCCGGAGCGCGAGGCGCTTCATTTCCTTGGGCCGCCCATGGCAGCCGAGGTGGCGACTGGGATTGCGATGGGTGGGTGCAGGGTTGTGCGGTGCCGTGCCGTGTGATACAGGGTTGCAAGGAAGCTGGTGCAGCGTGCGAGGTGCGCTGTTGGGAGCAGGGGGCTGCTGTGAATTGTCGCGGCGGCTCATTTTAGACCAATTTGAGGAAAAGCAAAAATGAAGGCCCAGTCAGTCCCGTCTTCCTTTTGGGAGTAAGAGTTAACAAAGAAGATGCATTTTGACCTCCGGATGTATTGTGCTGGAGTCTTCCTAGATTTGCAGGAGGAGCCTGTTTCATGGAGCGAGTTTCAGCGGTGTCTCCGTGGCTTCATGCGCGCTTTTCAGAAGGTTCTCCGAAAAGATTCTCCGCTGCAGTGCAAGAATAAATGTTGCATCACTTGCATTTTTCGTTGCCTAACGCCAATATGGTCGCTGTTGTTGCGTTTTTGCCGTCGCCATTGCCATTGCCTGCGCCTGTCTGCACACACACGCAGGTGAACTGGACCCAAGCACGCTGCAACCATTCGACCTGCCCACCATCTACCGAGGCTGCGCACACCCGCCGCGTCACTTGCGGCCGCTGCTGCACCCGCCACCGCCGATACCACCGTCTTCGGGTTCTGCTTCGCAGCATCAGCAGCGAGGACCCTCCCAGGGACATGGCGGCGCGTCAGGGCCTGGGGCCGGCAGCCAGGGGGGGGATCGGGTCTCCTGGGGGATACCCCCAGGGCCCGGCCAACAGAGCCAATCTCACGGACACTGCATCCACCCGAACAACCACAATCGCCAGCAGCACCTGTCCCAGCAGCAAGCCCGCCTAGGCCGCCATTCAGCTGGTAGCAACAAGCCGCCGATACCGCCCAATGGCCGCATCGACCGGTACTTTTTCGCTCCGAATCCGGCAGCCAGTCAGCCATTTCGTCACCACGTGCAGCTGGGGGGTGGGGTGAATGTGGAGGGAAAGGGGGCCCAGCGGTTGGGCCAGGGAGCCGGTGGCGGCGGCGATGATGGTGGCGGGGAACGCTGTGGTGGCAGCGGACTGCAGGTGGTTTCGTTGGGGGGAGCTGCGGGGGACGCCGCGCAGGAGGGTGCTACTGCTGGTGCGGCGGCGGCGGCGACTGCGACTGCGACTGCTGCAACTTCGGCCGCGGATGAATTGGTAGATGGCGGCCGGGGGGGGCCTGTGGGCGCCGGCGGAGGCGGCGAGGATGTTCGTCAAGATGCCGAGGAGGTGTGTGCTGGATTTTCGAACTGGCGGCGGCGAAGGAGGAGGAGGTGGGGGAGGGATGGGGGCTGCATTTTGGTTTTTTTGCGCAGGAAGAGGGCGATGGGGTGCTGCGCTGGCGCTGTGGTTTCTGGTGCGCATAAAAGTAGGCGGACGACAGAGGCGGAGGTTACGAAGGGGAGAGCTAAGTGCCTAGCTGTCCTGTCCTGCCACTGGGCCAAGCTACGGGGCCAAGCGTGTTTGCTTGCGTTTGTGGCACCAGTCTCGTGCCCCAGTCTCGCCATCCTCTTCCTCCTGCTGTCGCTGCCGCGCCTTTCCCCCCATTGCCTCCGTCGTAGCCTCTGCAGCACCTGCTCCTCTGCGCTGCTGCTGCTCCTGATGATGATCAACTATTTATTTATGTAAACCGTTCGCTGACCCATGGGTCGCCGCCTTGCAGGACACCGGCTGCTCACCGCCCAGTGCAAAGCGGCGGCGGTTCGGCCGCCACCCTGCCCCTGCTCCTGCCCCTGCCGCCGCTAGCGCCGGCGGCAGCGGCGTTGGCAGTGATAGCCTGTTTTCTCGTTTTCGCCATTGCAGCTCTGTGGCAGCGGCAAGAGGGCGAGGGGGCTCAGGGGCAGAGGGGTCTCGGGCCGCAGACGGCCTGATGCCTTCGCAGCCCGAATCGCAGGACCGTATACCTTCAAGGGCCGAGTGCCGTACTGCAGCAGTGGACGGCCCAGGCGGTGGCGGTGCCACCGGCTCGCAGGGATCGGGCAGAGGCGGGGTGATGACGGCGGTGGCGGTGGCCGGTCTTGGTGAGGAGGTCTCGGCGGCTGCGGGACCGTTGGGCTCTGCGCCTGGCAGCCAGCGCACGGGCCCTAGCAGCCAGGTACATGGGGGCGGACTGAGGACCGATTTATGGCTGCTGCATGTGTGGGCACACGGGCTGAGTGTCCGACAGAACCGTTCCTTTTTCCTCGAGCATGTCAGCATGCACTAAACTAAACCACAACCTTGTTCCTGGATGTCACAACAACAGCGTAGATATGGCACGGATGTAGCCGCGCTTCTCTGGGTCAGCACACCTATGGTGTCGTTCCGCAATTACGGTAGAGAGGCACGGAAGAATGAAGTCTTCTGGATGTGATTGCGACGGACCGCTGGTACTGTTGGTAGCTGTGCCATGTGGATTTGCAAGCATCATGTACACCGCATGCCAACACGGGAGCGCATCACTGTCCCCGCCCAGTTCCTCTCGCTTCTCCCCACCCATGAAGCAACCCGTGAATCTCACCGATCAATCTCACCGTCCCCATGTACCGCCTCCTGCGTACCCAACATGACAACAAACCTTTGCACAAGCCTTTTACCATCTGAACCTTTTATCACTGCGTGCACTTCCTACAAGGCGCTTTCCGAATGCGGTCGCGCTACACGTTCACTCGCACGTGTGTGCGCCTATCTCATGTTGCACTCCTCTGATTACGTAACGTGACATGGCGTGGGGTGGGGTGGGGTGGGGTGGTATCGCTCGTAATGAGTGCAGGGCCATACGCGCGGCTGGTGCTCAGGTGCAGACTCGGACCTGCTCGACCACCCGCCGTCCGGAACGGCAACGCGTGACGGGAGCCAGTACGGCAGCCAGTACGACAGTCAATACGACGGCCAGGTAACGTCCGGTTGCGAGGGAGCAGGTTGGGGCACGGCGTGGCGGGCTGCTGGCGGCAGCGGCAGCGGCGGCGGCGGCAGCCAGATGGCCGGCAGGTCGCGGGCACCTGCGCGTCTGGCGATGGAGGTGAGGAATGGCACATTTTGTAGCAGAGGGTGGTGGTGGGACCTGCGGGCTGTGTGTTTTGTTGTAGCCAAAAATCCAGATGCCACACCTAACATCCTCTTTCAGCACCAGTACGAGATGTACATGGTAACCAAACTGGTGCATTGCTGGCCAGCCAGCAGCGCGGGCCCCATGCCTCATTCATCACGTCTTCACATAAATTAGGATTTCCGCTGGAATGCCATGTTCAGGCCTTGTTTTCGGAGCCATCCGGGGGCTCCGGACACCGGCCCCAGTCTCAACCAGCGCTGCATGCCGCCTCCGGCGGCGGCACCACGGGCTCGGGCCCCACAGCCAGCGCCGGAACCACTTGCGGCAGCATCGGTGGCTTCGGAGCGGGCCGCCAGGTCCTGGGCGCGCTGGCGGCGTTTCATTGTTGGCGACAGATGTCCGGTCCTGTGGTGCTGGGCGGTGCAGCTGCAGCGGCTGCGGTGGCGGTGGCGACCGCTGGCGGCGGCGAACAGCCCGTTGGCAGTGTCGGCCCGGTAGGGAAGCCGCCAATCTGCCGCCACGCAATCGCTTCGTTGTGGAGGGGCGTGGCTCTGCAGTCCATAGCCACGTTGGTAGTGACGATTTTGGCATCGTTAGCGCCCATATCTTGGTGCCCTGAGTTGCTCAGCTTGGCTTGACTTGTTGGCTGGAGGGTGACTGGAGGGTGTCTTTGGGCGCGTCGGGGCTGTGCCGTTGATGCGTGGGGATGTGCTGAGCAGGTGTGGCAAGCCGGAAAGCACTCCGTGGGCATTACGGACATGAACCGGATTCGAATACGACGCCGCCAGGGCATATCCATGAAGGAGCTAATCCGCATCGGTCCACACCCTGGCCTGCAGCTCGCGGATGCGGCGATGCTGGCAGACCCTGACCCTGACCCTGACCCGCACCGGCCCTACCACCAAGCCTACGCTGGACCCGTGAACCAGCAGCTCCTTGTACCGCCTTGTAGCTCCATCACGACCAACGACCTCTTTAAATCTACTCGCTATGCGTTCTGGCGTCGATGATGCCCCCTTTCTTATATCTTATATCTTTCTTATATCTTGTAACCCCTCCCTGGGTCACCCAATGTCACAGGACACTGACTTCCAGACCCGTACAACGACTTCGGGGCCTAATCCGTTGGCACGGTATGGCCAAGGTGACGCTGCCGGCGTCACCGATGCGCCGGGCTTTGTCAGCGTCGGGCTGCGCGCTGGCAGCGGTGCCTCTGCCGCCGCGCCGGCGGTATCCACACCCGCTGTCGGCGGCTCTTCCCGAGTCAGGAAGCCACTGCCTAAACCGCCACCCCAATTCAGCATCTACGACCTGGATATGGAAGGACAAGGAGACCCACATGCTGTACCCGATAGGGCGGCGGTTGAGTATCCAATTGCGAGCATCCAGTGCGCCGGTGGTGGCGGCAGTGTGGCGGCACTGTCGCCCTGGAAGCATGAGGAGGAGTTGGGGGCCTCACCTCCCCGCCTGCCCCGCGCTGCGCTGCCCGGGCACAAGCGTGCCTGCGGTGCAGTCCAACAACATCACGGTAACGAGGAGGTCAGCGATGGCAACGAGGAGGAGGATGGCGGTGAGGCTGAAGTAACCAGCCCCTTGAAGCTGGCCTCGTTCCCGCAGCTGCCGCCACACCGCACCGCGCCTTCCATCCGCCGGCTCTTCCCGGCCATTAAGGCGCACGCGGGCGCCAGCCTAGCGGCGGCGGCCGCACCGGCGCCACCGCGGCAGCGCCTGCCGAGGCTGCTTCATCCCTCGGCTAGGCGGCGCTTCTGCGGTGACGGCAGCGGACAGCTACGGCAGCAGCAAGAACAACAGCGGTTGCCAGAAGAAGGTGGCATGGCCGGCATCGGAGGGCATGGCAGCCCGATGCTTGAAGCTCATCCACTGCCACCATCATCACTTCAGGCAGAAGCCGCATCTGGACCTGGGCAGCTAGATTCAGTAGCAGGGTGTCCGGGGCTGGAGGACATCAGGTTTGGGCCGGCAGGAGGAAGTGAAGGCTTCCGGCTGGCATGTCGGTCGGCCCACCAGCTTTTG